CTGTATCCCTATTGCGACGGCTGAACTCCAAGTCTTCAAGAAAGCTAGGAAGCTGAAATTTTTGATCTACTGCCTTAGGCCGTATAAGTTCCATATGAGCGAAGATTTGAAAACGGGAGAGTGGCATGAAGCTGTCCAGACGACGTTCTCCACGTCAGGAACTAGGAAGACGTGAAAAAAATTCCGGGTTTATTGGGCAGTTACGTGGGCTACGTGGCTTTGACATTACGCCAACACTGTGATTTCTCGGTGCAGCGCTTTCACACATCTACATAATTAACCAATATAGCTGTTTTAAGTAAATCCTTCCACGCTACATAGCTACGCTCGTTTATTACTACCATTCAGTAGTCTTCTTAAAGTCCATCTGTTGTCTCTCATTCTTGACACTGCTCAACTTTTCCTCCTCGCATACACCACAGTCTTGGTAATCGCATATTTAAGGTTGAATGAAAATTTTGTTGAAAAATGTGAGAAAGGATGATAGAAAAGATAAAAAAGGTAAAAAAGGGGAAGATGTAAAAAAGAAGTAGTATTTAATTAGGTAAGAAATGTTTCGGTCCATTAAGTCGTATACATTTCTTATCACACACCACAGTATGTCTGGTGGTAACTAGCCTGTCTGGAATGTGTGATTGCGGCGCTCTACCATGTAGAACAAGTTAGGGCGTAATATTACCTGTAATCTGATTTTTTCGTGATTTTACCGCAAAAATGTATTTTTTACGTCGACTTCCGGAAGTAAGCCGTGATATGTTGTTGTTTCATGTGGGAATGACTTTGCGCTTGTTATATTTCTAGGCTACCGTTTCACACCTGTCATTGTATTTTTCTCATTTTTCCAGGAATGGCTGTTTCCGATTTCCTGAAGGATTTGCCAACATCTGATGGAGCAAATTTTACGACGGTGAGAAGAAAAATGGTAAGCCGTAAAAGTGGTAGTTTATTTTGTGGGAAATTTTGATTTCCCGGCGATTTTTTTAGCAAAGTTTCCACCACTTTTTACCGCATAAAAAAAGGCTTATTTTGTGGGAAACTTTGATTTCCCGGCGACTTTTAGCAAAGTTTCCACCACTTTTTACCGCACAGAAAAAAAAATCTGTCCGAAATTAAAATTCATACTATTCACCATAATCGTCGTACTGATGAGATCCAGTTGTGGTAATGGTAAGAATTGTACACGACTTAATGTGGACCGAAACATTTCTCACTATCATAATATATTTTACAATACATTTCAAGTTTTATTAATTTTTTAACACTACGACGAGCTTTTTCTTTTTCCAACATTAAAATATTTTTATGAAAAAATTATCGTTTGTGTTCGAGAAATCTGTATTATTTGAAAAATTTTTTATTTGTGCGAAGGCTGGTTTTTGTAGAGTCAAAAATGTACGATAGCGCAATGTGCTCGGATAGGTAACGAAAAACACGTGATCTGTGATCAGAAGCCAATTTTGCTGAAATTTCTGAAGACAACCTGGATTGAAAGTGTTTGTGCCAATCGTGTAAGTTTATTTCCCGTCAAAATTTGCACCGAAAACAACCAGTTTCCGCGATATTGAGGGCGCATTTCCAGTTTTAGGGGTTTAAAAAAATCGGTGCAGAGGCCCAGCGCACACACAGACACACACACACAGACACACACAAACATACACACAGACAACCTCTCGTCAATATGCGTTTTTCGCATTGCATTGCCGCAAAAAAACGCATAAAAAACGAAGAAACAAGTGCAGTTGTATCGGCGAACTCCTCTCCCCCCGTTTATTCAGCACACATATACTGATTCATTAGCACAATAAATAGCGGTATCAAAATTCTGGGGTTGTAACCCCTGATCGTCATAAAGCACTTGGGAGAGGCAAAAACATCAATAATTTCCTTGGCTTCCCTCTGGAAAGCAACAGAAGCCAGTTTCATTTATTTCTAATTATTTTCTTGCAAATTAGTACTGAAATGTTTTAATTATGAGGATTACCTAGTAAATCGTTGAGGTAATTCGATGGTAGTTTTAGTGCTGGGATATCCCACACATTCCCGGTGCGGCTGTCACAGTCCCTTCAGTCCTGGGCTACATACCTTCAGTTAGCATCAGCAATCTCTTCGATTTATGCCATTTGGGTAACCTTTTTGATCGTTTAAATACGTTTTTTTTTTTAAAAAAAAAAAGCACTATTTTCAGGAAAGTTCACCATCGTCACACTCTGAGCGAAAACGCCCATCTGAGGCATGTAACGGGATGGCTGAGGAAACTGATGAGGGTGATGAGGCGAGGGGCTCAAAAACCAGGCGGACAGAGTGATTCGAATTATTTAGTTTTCAAAATGTAAATAGTTCTCATTCCATGTACTTAATCCCAGCCATCCCGGTGATCCCGAGGTAAATTGCTTAGGGTTCTTTTTGTCTTCGTTGGAATTCGGATGGGCTCTCCTCATGAATTATTCGAATTTTTTTAATGCACGAGTGGGGCCATTTTCAATAATTATTTGTAT